GAGGATAAAGGTACCAATGCTACACCATGTAAGGGGAAGGTAATCTGTGATGTATAAACAGGAGTTTCAGGGGACCATGGGGTTTGACCGTTGATGGTCCTCATCAATGTGTATTATTTTTGTATTTGTATTTTTAAAGATACCTGACTATACCACTGAGGGAAAATCATCTATATTCTCATTTATCAAGAAAAGACAAAACTGGTGGACATGTTGAAGCCAAGTTTATTAGAATAATGTTTTATATTTTATGGTTTTTGCATAGAAAACAGATAATAGAAGAAAATGCATTTTAAAGGTTAGAGTCTCAGAGGTTAGATGACGTATCATTTCCCTGTTGGCTGTTCCTCTAGAGATATAAAATATATAAAACCAGCCAACAACTGGTTGTGATCTGATCCTCATGAAGCTCACTCAGATTGGAGGTAACATCATTGTGTGTCCCTGTGTGTGTGTGTGTGTGCGCAGTCCCCCTTCTAGGAGCCAAGAGAACTGAAAGCCAATGAAATTTATTATACACATAGCCGGGGTTAAAACTGACCCTTTTATTGAGTTGAGCCGTCACCTCACGTCTCGGCTTTTCCTTATGAGCCTTATTTTTCTAAATGTTATTGTGGGACCTTACATAGCTTGGAGTTTGTGTTTTTCTTCTGACTTTTTATTTTTTGAAAGCTTGGTAAGCGATGTCTGTGAAGGTTCTTATTTATCCAGGTCATAGCATAGCAAGTAGTAGTTGGTCAAATTCAACTGGACTTGTTCTGTCATTTTTGAAGACATTTAATTGCCTATCCAAGCACCTTGCTCATCTCAGGAACATACCCCAGAATTTATAGCCACATGGGTAACTCAAAATCAGGATGCTGCTGTGACATTTTGGCACTTCACATCATACAATGGTACGGTGTCAGTAGGTCTAGGACATGTGTTAATCACTGAGATGTAACCACACAACTTGAACCCATAACATCGACTTAAATTCCATAGTTTCCATAAATGACAAAGTGCTAGGTGTCATCATGGACTCAGACTTCACCTTTCTGCCCCACATCCAATCACTATCCAAATCCTGCCACCTTCACCTTCATAACATCACTTATGAAACTGCAAAACTACTCATAACTCCCTTGTTATCTCTCATCTTAACTATTGCAACTCCCTCCTCATTGGCCTTCCACTATACAGGCTCCTCCCCCCTTCAGTCTATCATGAATGCTGCTGCTAGGCTCCTCAACCTAACCAACCGCTCAGTGTCTGCAACCCCCCTCTGTCAATCCCTCCACTGGCTTCCATCCCCCACCCCCCTCTGCCGATCCCTCCACTGGCTTCCACTCGCCCAAAGGATAAAATTCAAAATATTAACAACTACTTACAAAGCCATCCACAACTCTGCCCCTGGCTATACTGTATTTCAAACCTGGTTCTCAAAGTATCACCCTAACCGTCCCCTCCGCTCCTCCCAAGACCTCCTGCTTTCCACCTCCCTTGTCATCTCCTCCCATACTCGCCTCCAGGACTTCTCTAGAGTCTCTCCCATCCTCTGGAACTCTCCCATCACGTTCTCAGACAATTCATCCCCACACAGCTACCTCCTCATGTATCACTTCCCCCTCCTCTTTTAGATTGTAAGCCCTCAGGGGCAGGGCCCACCTTACCATCTTGTCTTTAATTGTATTGTGATTGTAATGTCTTCCTTATAGTGTAAAGCGCTGCGCAAACTGTTGGCGCTATATAAATCCTCTATAATAATAATTCCCCCACCGCTGTGTTGTATCCTGCTCCTCTTTCTCATTTTTATGTTTTAAAATAGATTTTTGCTTGAATAAGTTCAAGTCTTTAATGAACACCGATTTATTAATTGAGGATCTCGTGCATAACGTAAGACCTTCGGGTATCAAGTCAATCTGAGTAGGAGTTAAATAATATATGATAAATGATTATTATTGTATTACTATTATGCAGGATTTATATAGCGCCAACAGTTTGCTCAGTGCTTTACAGTATAAATTAATGATTCTTAAAGGAGAACTATGAGATGAGTGCTTTTCACTCACCTCATAGTTCTAGCCGACCTGTGACAATGAGACTGTCACAGGTCAGCTCAGTAGATCGGGAAGTGAGCGAACACATACCGGCGTTCGCTCACCTCTCGATCCTGTCACGGCTCTCTGCTGTGACAGGGGGAGGGGCTGGATTCCCCCCTCCTCGCTCCGATCCGCCAGCGCTGACTGGTGGAACGGACGGGGGAGGGGGCGGGTACAGCTGGCTCTGCCTTTCGATAGGCAGAGCCAGCTGTCAGTCACGCAGCTGGGCGGATCCCGGCACAATTGTCAGGATCCGCGTCAGCTGCGGCGTCTCAGTATATAATGAGCTGTAGCTCGCGGTATACTGAGCCTAGGGTGACGGAAGGACGCTAGTTTGTGTCCTCCCGTTACCCTTAGGAGAACTATGGGGAAAAGCCTTAGTTCTCCTTTAAGTCCTCCACAGTATCAACTATACTTTACTGATTAGATACTGGTCAAAACTCACTATTCTGTGCACAGGGCCTAAGTCTGTGCTTTTGTAAATGGCTGTAGAGTGCCTCCTAAAAAACCCTGCGTTACATTGTTTTCCCTTTCCTTAGTAATCCTCTCCATCTCCCCAATATTTCCCCTTTACATCCGTTTTACATTTCTTCCTTCCTTTGTTATTTCTTTGTGATCAAGTTTTATAGCGTGAAGACTTCAATGTATCTTTTCTTGTATCCCCTAAGGCATGGTTCCCACCTGGGCGTATTTCAGCGCATTTTGACGCGCTGAAAAACGCCCTACGCCCAAAATAATAGAGGGGCTTCTTTGGGGCGTATTTCAGCGCGTATCCATTGGTATTCCCGAGTGCGGCTCGGGGGTAATAAAGTTTTAACGTCGAGCCACACTCGGAAATACAGCGTAGGTCTTACTTTGTCCGCGACCCCCGCTGTGTCCTCCGGCCGCTGCCGTCTTCCGGGTTCCGTCCGCGTCGCAGGGGGGCGGAACCAGCGGGAAGTTTGAAAGTTAAAAAAAAAAAACGAAAAAAAGATAGAGAAAAAAAAGGAAAAATGAAAAAAAAAATTATACCACCAGGGAGCTATAAAAACAAGCGTCGAACGCGCGTTTCACTGAACTAAAAAACGCGCTAAAAACAAGCTGAAAAAACGCACATAAAACGCACCTATAGCAACGCCCAGGTGTGAACCTAGCCAAACTCATCTCCAGATGAATAAACTGACATAATTCTTTTACTGATGTTGTATTTCTATTCTCATACCAGTATCTCTTACCTTGATATTTATTTTCCTATTGATACACTTTTCCTTCAAAGGAGAACTATAAGCTGAGTGATTTCCACTCATCCTCATAGTTAGAGCCGACGTGTGACAAAGAAGCTGTCACCCATCAGCTCAATAGATCAGGAAGTGAGCAGAAACATGCTCCGATCTGCTCACTTCCCGATCGTCTCCCTGCAGACTGTCAGTCATCGCTCCCTGCAGGGATCCACCCTCTGATCCTGCAGCGCTGAGTGCAGGAACGGGCGGGGGAAGGGGCAGGTACAGCCGGCTAGCCTGCGATTTACTGAGCTTTGGGTCACGGGAGGAGGTTAGTATATGTCCTCATGTGACCCTAAAGAGAACTATGGGGAAAAACACTTACCCCCATAGTTCTCTTTTAAGAAAAGCTTTTTTGTCCCATTCTAATTTAATTTCCTAATTTTGTACAATTTCCTTATTTCAATTCTCTGAATATAGATTCAAATCTCCTCTCAATTTTTTTAAAATCCCCTCCCGTTTCCATCTTCCCAAAATCCCTGGTGATTCCAAAATCGTTTCATTGAACTTCTTCATTTCATTATCATAATGTTCACTCAGTAGTAACATCATATTTCTATTACACAGGTCGATATTCTTTTCCCATCCTGATCTAAACTCTGTAGATACTTCTTTGATATTAGGGAAGACTTGAATTCCTAGCCCCTGTGGACATACTTCTCGTTCTAAGGATCTTTCCAAGTATGTTATTCCACCAAAGTCAGGATTTCATTTCATATTATTATTATTATACAGGATTTATATAGTGCCAACATTTTGCGCAGCGCTTGACAAAACAGAGAGACAATCCAATTAACGATACAATTTCAGGAGGTAGGAGGGCCCTGCCCATGAGAGCTTGCAATCTAGTAGGAGGGGCAAGTGATACAAAAGGTAATAACTGTTTGGGATGATTTAATGGAAGAACTGATCTGCTGGAGACAAGACCAGTCACCCTGCACAAGAAGAGAGAGCAGCAGTGAGCGGTCCTTATTACAGGAGGGGGCGGAGACAAGACCAGTCACCCTGCACAAGGAGAGCAGTAGTGAGCAGTCTTTATTACAGGAGGGGACGGAGACAAGACCAGTCACCCTGCACAAGAAGAGAGAGCAGCAGTGTGTGGTCTTTATTACAGGAGGGGGGGCGGAGACAAGACCAGTAACCCTGCACAAGGAGAGAGAGAGCAAGAGTGACCGGTCTTTATTACAGGAAGCTCCAAGTTTCACACTGGATGACTGCACAGATCTGGGGGAAATACACAAAGATCACCAAGTTTCAAGAAAGATTACACATGACTCTTGTATGAGGACAATATTTGCCAGAGCTGGGCTTTAAACTAAGCTGACCCAACTCTAGCTTGGTGTTAGGGCACTCCGGTACCAACAGTTTTCCTGGGTCTTCCAATATGAACCCCTCCAGAAAACTTGAGTCCAAGAGCAGGAAAAAAGCTTTGGCAACAAATACACTTTGAATGTTTTGTTATTACAAGTCGGGAATAAGTTTTAATAACAAGTGTTCCATTTTATGGCCATATTTATCTTATGTGTGGTTTCATGTCCCTGTCATCTACAAACAGGTCTCTTGTTTCTCTTGTTTCAGACGTCAAATTTGGGATTTGGAGGTCCTGGTCGCGTGGCTTCATGTGGTTATGACATGGCATTTGTCATTTAGACTCCAGAAGATGAGTCAGATGCCACCAAATTCACTAAACTGGACGCTAGTGGATGGATTTGTCCTCTTGGGGCTGACAGAGGAGCCATCGCTGCAGAGGACCCTATTCATCATGTTCTTGATAACATACACACTCAACCTGATCGGAAACGGCTTCATTATAGTCATTGTGCTCTTAGAGCCAACTCTACGCACCCCAATGTACTTCTTTCTGGTCAACCTGTCCTTCTTTGACATCTGCTTCTCTTCTGTAGCTGTCCCTAAAATGCTCCAGGACCTGTTGACCCACCAGAAGGTGATTTCGGTGACAGCCTGCCTGGCTCAGATGCACTTCTTCCACTTTCTGGGCAGCTCTGAAGTTCTTCTTCTAACAGCCATGTCCTATGACAGGTACGTGGCCATCTGCAAACCCCTGCACTACTGCGGGATAATGAACAGGGGGAGGTGTCTCTTGTTTGCCGTTGGCTCCTGGTGTACTGGCTTCCTGCACTCATTGATGCATACGCTGTTCACAGCTCGGCTTCCGTTCTGTGGTTCCAATATAGTCAACCACTTCTTCTGCGACATCAAGCCGTTGCTGAAACTGGCATGTGCCGACACCACGCTCAATGTTTACCTATTAGCACTTGTGACGGGATCCTTGGTCATGATTTCCTTCTTCCTGACTCTCCTGACCTATATTTTTATCAGCTCTGCCCTCCTTCGGATCCGTTCCTCCGCGGGTAGGCTCAGGGCCTTCTCCACCTGCGCGTCGCATCTGGCGGTTGTGGTTCTGCTGTATGGCACGGCAATATTCACTTACGTGCGACCAATCACGGAGGAATCTCTACACGTGGATCGGATTGCTGCCATATTTTTCACCGTGCTGACACCGATGCTCAACCCATTGATTTATACGCTGAGGAATCAGGATGTCCAGAATGCCACCAAGCGACTCTTCAGGAGCTTGGTGTAAGGATGGGGGCCCGTGGCTGATTCGTGTCTCAGGATGGAAGGAAACATTTTCTCAGCCCCTAAAAAGCTTCACCATGTTTTGTTTCAAAAATCATGTTACATATTAGCACCTACATTCAGGGGCGTCCACGCTGTGACGTCACCTTGTGTGTGCGCGATGACATCATCGCGCATGCGCGGACATGTGATTGACGCCTGCCAGCAGCGATCTTGGTGATGGACGCCGGCAGAGAGAGGAGGGGACGTTCACCCGGCGGGATGAGGTATGTTGCCGGGTCCCCTCGCTCTTCTGACACTGTCGGGCTCTCGGTCCATGACCGAGCGCCTGACTTTTCAGAGGGGGTGACACCAAAATGACTGTCAGTCATTTTGGTGTCACCCCCTCCAATGGTGGCACCCGGATGCGGCCGCACCCCCCGCGTGATGCCACTACATTCTAGCTCATAAGTATGCAAACTCTGTCCCTCCCACTCGGTGGTAAAACTAAAAATCCCACCTTGCCTCTGCCTCTGGAAGCCATGCCTGTGGATGGCAGAGTCTTGCAGTGACTAATTGGATCTGTAGTTGCAGCACAACTGGAGGGCCGGAGTTTGCCCACCCCTGTTGTAGATTTTAATTTTTTAAAGCTGAAATGTAACCCACTTTTACTTTCCCTGGTTACTGCCTCCCCTTTATGAACATGATAATGAAATGATGCCATATAATGTTTCCATTTTCATAACATACTTATGGAACTGAAAGAGTTAAAGTTTTTTATTTCATCATAACTTATACTAAAGAAACAAGTCAACGAAACGGGACATCTAAAAGGTTCCCGTCATCAGGGCTTTGAGACTATAAACAATATATACCCCATTCATGCCCTCTATATACATTGCTAGCCTATATTTCCTATTATTAATTGTGTAAATCTTTTCATATTCTTGAGGCCCCGATAAATGAAACGTCTTATGCCCCAGAAACTCACTGGCACTTATCTTTCGGATATAAAAATAAAAATATTTAATCAATGGCGTGGAGCATCTTTTCTCCTAAATGTCCTGCATTTTGTCTAAAGCATCTCCAAGTGCCCCTTCAACCATGATAGTGTCCTATCTCAAATCACTTCACTCCATTGTACATATACAACTCTAAGGGGTCTAATCACTAAGCTGCCGTAGGCAGCCGAGTGAATGACCGACCTAAAGTGAAGTGAGCCGAAAACTGTTCGGCTATTCACTTCAGGCTGGTACGGCTGATTTCAGCCGCATATCGGCTGAAATCAGCCGTACATCGGCTTGCTTCGCATGGCTTCGGGTCGGCCGAACATGCTCAGCATGTTCG